GCGGTTTGTGGTTCCAGCTGCAGACCCAAAGCATGTTTTCGTTGAATGCTGGAGCCGCTGCTATCGCAATGACAGTGAGCAGGTGCAGGTAGTAATAATACGCGTGTTTGTCTTGAGATAGTTAGAGTTACATCCAATGGCCCATCTGTCTCTTGCACATTATGTACCAGGTGATAGCATTGTGGCAGCTAAGACAGAATCCATTAATGCACTCACTGAGACGGGAACAAAAATACTTTTTCTTTGACATTTCAAACTAGAGTTCAGGCCTTTTAAATAAAACCCCTTGGTATTTAGTCCACATAAGAACCTCTTTGTTAGCTTTGAAGGCTTTCTTTTGGGAATAATTCTCTGGTAGCAACCTCTAAACCTGCACAGATAATATACAAGACATATATGCTTGCAGAGAGTATAATCCAGCGGTACATACCAGCTAATAGCAGTCAGAGATTCTGCATGTGCAACCCAGGATTTGGAAGATGCCTGCAGATGACATTCCCTACTGTAGCCCTGGAAAGCATGTAGCAGTAAATGAAGAGATTTAGTATAATCACTGAACACTCTCTTATTTCCTCCTGGCCCATCAGATGAGGCAGGGAGCGTTCCTAGTAAACACAGCACGCGGTGGGCTTGTGGATGAGAAAGCCTTAACTCAAGCCCTGAAGGAAGGAAGGATACGAGGGGCAGCACTTGACGTGCACGAATCGGAACCATTTAGGTAAATAATGGCTTGCATTTTGCTCTTATTAAAAAGCTGCATATACATGACTACTCTTCACCCTACAGGCGTCCTAGGGCCCAGCTCCCAGGATCTGTCCTGCGAATGGGAAGCCCAGAATTCCTGGAGTCCTGAATGGGAACACGCAGTAGTCAGTGCTCTCGATCCGTACTCCAGGGAAGCCCTGCTTAGTAACTGTAGATGCCACTTCAGGAGACACTGTTGGGTCCAAGTCGCATGCCATTACAAAACATTTGCTACTGGACAGTGAAAAGGCCAGGGTTGGCAAGCCAGTCAATTGGGCGGTCAGTTAACTGCATATTTTTTGACCAGTCAAAGATTATAGCAATTTTGTGGGGAATGAATTTTCTTTCCTTAGTTGTCTTTACAGAAGTATGATTTTTTTAAAAATATTTTTGACACATTTCTTAGTGGGAAAAAACTGCTATTTTGTGTGTTATTTGACTGTACTGGCAAATTTTTACAATTTTTGACTGGTCAATTGACTGAACTTTGTTTGACTGGTCAAATACCCAACCCTAGATAAACCCAACAGGTTTCAGTTTGTGTCTGGTGCGTTTCTCTTTGACGCTAGCCCGCGGCTGCCGAGTTCAGAGCCTGCACACGAACGTTCTCCTCCTCGCACATCATTACCATTTCTCTTGATGGGCATTTACAAAAGCTTTTGGGGGGGGGGGG